ATACTCTTGATCTTTCTTTCTTTTTTTTCAGTTTTCAGAAGGTAGCTGCACTCACCAAAGAGAGAGAGAGAAAAAGGGAGAGGGAGAAAGCACCCCCTCCCCAGTGCAATATAATCACGCCACAATCCCTTTTCCTCCGTATTTCCGCCTTGTCAGGATTTGGATATGCATGTGCATGCAATTGGCATGTTTTTTCCAAGCCATTGAGGCTGAGATTTGAACTGCAGTGGGCCATGCAGGACCCAGTGCCGTTAATCACTAGGCCACGAGGCTGGCTTGATACTCTCAAGTATTCTGTTTAACCCTAGTGGACCGATTTGCACACTGCTATGATCCACTTTGTGTTTTGTTTTGTGGTAAAGTTGACTTAAAGTAATGTTCTGGGGCCAGCACTAGTATGGTGGTTAAGGCCCTAGTCTCCCACATGGCCTGCCACAGTTTGAGTCCCATGTCTTATAAAATCACACCAGGCATGTGTGTGTGTATGTCAAGAATCCCAGGAAGAAAATGGAGGAGAAGGTATTATGGCAGGGCCATACCCCCCTGGGGTTGATTTTTCACTTTCCCTCTCTGTCTGTCTCTCTCCAGCAAGTGCATGCACCCTATGGCAAAAACCAAATAAATAAATGATAAATTAAAAAAATATGGCTCTATGACTTTTATCACATGAATAGATTGGAGTAACCACCACCACAATTGGGATGCAGAACCATTCCATCACACAAAGCACTTCTTTGTCCTGTTCCTTTTCACACCCTGACCTCTAACAACCATGGAGCTATTCTCTATCACTGTAACAGAGAGAGACAGAGAAAGACAAGGAGCAGGCACTCTCAACAGGTCTCCACACCACGATCCACCAGTCTCAGCTGACCCAGACCACAGACACATACCCGTTGTGTTCAGGGAGGCCTGAGGGTGCAATCCTAGCACCTTTCCTATGTGGTTCAGTGGTGTTACCACTGCAGCACTGCCTGATCGCCTGATGGTACTCGTACACAGTCACACTGTATTCTAGTGTGTAGCAATCCAGTTGATTTTGGAGAGGTTTGTTCTTAGAACAGTGTTGTAGCAACCTTCAAGTCCCAGCCCCAAGAAGAAACTGCTACATAAAGATATTTTAATTTTGATATCACTAGAATCAAAGCTGGAAAACTCTTCCTTTCTAAAGTGCTTCTGGGAAATGTGAGGTTTCTGGAATGGAACTTTCATTCTAACGTGTTAGGATGCCATTAACAATTGAGTTTTCCCACACACAGGAGACCAGTTGTGATTCCTCTGAAATAATTATAGAAAGAGCAGTGGCTGGATCTGAGGCAGTACATGGCTGCCAGATATAAGCAAGAGGCCTGGTGAGAGGCCTGGCTGATTGGTTCGTGATAAGTTTATGGGGCAGAGCTGTGTCTTCCCCAAGCTTGCACATGCACAGCTCTAAGCATGCTTGCTGCCACATTGTTTGAAGAGCAAACGTTCCCTAAATTTTCTAGCTTTCCATACACCAGAATGCAATAAGTCTAGGTACCAACATGGATGTATTCCCAAGGCGCTTCCCCTTCAGAAGGGCTGACCTAGTACCAGAGCCAAACTCTCACACGAGGGGTCACACATGACACAGATGGGCCACTGCTACATAAATGCACATCCATTCTTGTGGGAGGATGGGTTCTGAGGAAACTTCTTTCCTAATAAAAGGGAATTGAAGTGTTGGAGCTGCCCTTTCTCCCTTCCTTGGGTCTTCTATGTTGTCTAGATGTTCAGAATTGTGTGGCCATTTTGTGCCCATGAAATGACCAACAGGGAGCAAAAGCCAGAAGACCTAGGATGGCAGAGGAGAGACAGAGAGATCCCTAATGGAAACTTTCAACAGCTGACTGAATGCTAGCAGCTACCGCTGCAAACTCATGCCTTGTGAGGAAGACCAACCCCTGTGTTTGTCAATCACTCTGGAATTTTATATTACTTGCAATTAACTGAAATAACTGTCAAGGGGAAAAATAATCAGGCTGCAAAGAAATGGGCATATTCTACTATTTTATAGTATGGAATTATGTATGAATTCATAATAATTTTATGTACATTGAGAAATTAGAAGGTTTGTGATTACTTGCGAAGTGCTGAGCATTGGGATGGCCCTCCTGGCCTAGCAGTTAAGGGAGGTGGATCCCACATGGCTGATCACAGTTCAGATCAAGCCTGGTGGCTTAAAAAGCACACTGGGAGTGTGTATATGGATGCCTAAGATCCCTGACGGGTGGAGAAATGGAGGAGAAGGGATTGCCATGTAACTTGGCTCCTTTGGGAGTTGCTTTCTTCCTCTTCTCTCTGTACCTCTTTGATGAGCACATGTGACCTCTGGCAATTGAAAAAAAAATGTACTGAACCTCTGCTCTGTACTCAGCACATCTTACCACTTTTGATTTTTACTCTGTGAGGTGGATGCTCACATTTTCCACATTTATGAGTGAGGAAACTGAAGCTTCAGGGGTTCAGTAACTTTCCCAAGTTGTAAGATGAGCAGATAGCTAGCTAGGATCTAAGTGCCAAGCCTGTCTGTCCCAAGAGAAACTTCTTCGACTATCATATGCAGACCCTCACCAATGCCAGCCTGCCATACGGACCCCCTGAGCTCTAACAGCAATGTACAGGGATGGGATGGTGGTGAGGACTTGCACTTTTCCTTTATACACATTCATTGCTTAACAATGAGGATACATTGTGGGAAATGCATTGCTAGGTGATTTCATTGCTGTGCAAACATTGTAAAGTGTACTTACACAACCAGCTTGGGTCAGCCCATTACATACCCAGGCTATATGGCAAGATCCTGTGAGACTACCATTGTGTATGTGATCCGTGGCTGACTGAAACTTTACTTGGTGCGCTGCTGTACTTTAATATATTATTTTTTTTTTTTTGGTTTTCATAAGCAAGTATTTTGTTATAAAAGTGCATATTCAGAGAAATTGATCAAGTCACACTGGTGCTCGGGAACCAGCAGTTAGCGTAATGGCTATGTCACTGGACTCCCACGTAGTCAACTGCAGTTTGTGTCCTGGACCCGGTGGCTTAAAACTCACGCCGGGTGCGTGTGCGTGCGTGCCCAAGAACCCGAGAGGAGAATGGAGGAGAAGGGATTGCGGTGTGACCATCCCTCCTGGG